CATCATTTCCTATTTAGGATCCAGACACAGACAACCAACAATTGTGTAACTTTAAGTTGCCTTAATATCTTTGGCCTTGATTTTCTCCTCTGTGAATGGGGTATATTAGTGTCTTCTGTAGAAGATTATCTTGAGAGTAAACAAAGCATTGGATATGACGGCCTTTCCATGCATTGGTAAATGTTATGCTATACAACTAGCAGGAAGATATTCAAACACAACCTTAATGTAACTGTAAGTAACATCTTACAGTTTGGGTTAGGTTTTAAATCACAAATCAATAAAACAAGCTTAAAAAATCCCCTTTTCTTAAAAAAAATACCTCAAGTCACCTATCAGAGAGCATATAGTTGATTTTTTTATTCAGTTCTGAGAATAGTTTTTACATTGATATTGGAAAATACACAAGCTTGAACTAAGAAGATAAATCTCTGTGCAAATGTCAGAGCAGCCTACCACCTGAGGAGCTAGACCAAAGAAACATTCAAAATGTCCTCAGGATCTGTAGGGGTGGCCTTGTGTTCTCAGAATCAAGGCTCCATCCCCTGGAGAATTAGGGGTTGCCATGAGGGCTAAAGGAGACAACAGCTCATCCTTTGGGTTGGGGAGACAGGCTTCACAAGTGAGCTAAATAGTAAATACAATTCAGGTGTGCATCCCTGTGCATGTGTCCACGAGGCCTGTTGATGTATGAGGCTAAGATCCTCCTACATGGCATCCTTTCTAATTCTCACGACAGCCTGAGACGGCCATTGCTACTGCTTTGGTTTGAATCTAAAATTTTCCTTACGGGCTCATGTTTTTCTATACAAGACTGAGGGGCACTCACACAGTAGAGCCTGGCCTATAAAAGTGGATTGCTGAGGTTATAGCTACCCTTGATTCACATATATATTCTAGATTCTATGTATGAAAGAAATCATGCTATATTTGCCTTTCTGAGTCTTATTTTACTTAACCTGATGATATCAAGTTACATCATTTCCTGACAATGATGTGATTTCATTCTTTCTTGTGGCTGAATAAAATTTCACTGTGAACATATGCCACATCTCCTTTATCCGTTCACCTACTGATTGACATCTGTGCTCGTTCCGTATCTTGGCTTTTTCAAGTAATGCACCAATACACAAGTGTCTGTATTATCTCTGTGGTATGTTAAGATTTATTTGCATATGTATGTACGATGTACGTATGTATGTATTCAGGATTGAAAAAGTGGGATCACATGATTGTTCTATTTTTACTTTTTGAGGAACCTCCCATACCAACCTTTATAGTGATTACACTTAATTTGCATTCCCTTTAGTAGTATGTGTTTCTCTCCTCCCACATCTCCAACAGCATTGATTATCATTTGTTTTCTTCATGATAGCCATTCTGACTAGGGTGATGTAGAGTGAATGTGATTTTGAGTGTTCCTATTGGGTGAGCTGTTCAATACCTTTTCACATATTTATTGGCTGTCTATACTTCTTTAGAAAACTATCCTATTCATTTTTCATTTATTCTTTGCATAACTTTTTGGTGTTTGGCTTTCTAGTTCTTTATAGATCCTAGATATTCCCTTGCCAGATGTGTTTGTTGGCAAAGATTTTCTTCCACTCTGTAGGCTTTTCTTCACTTTGTGAAGCTTTTTAATTTTATGCAATCCTATCTGCCAGGTCTTGTTGCTTCCTTCCTGTGATGTTGGGGTCTTTTTCAGAAGCATATGCCGAGATCTTGAAGTGTTTTCCTCCAGAAATTTAACATTTTTCAGGTTCTGCACCAAATTTCTCTGGTCCATTTTGAGTAGATTTGGGTAAGGTAGGAGACAAAGATCTGTATTTACTTCCGTACATGGGAATATTCAGTTTTCACCTGGGGTGGGGGTGGGATACCAAATCAGATCTTCTAGACAAATCTCAAGAAGGCAGCCAGAATATTTCCAGCTTAAACCAATCCAAACCACATTAAATCTCTACCTGAATATCTTATTTCACACCCACTTCTGGCATCATACTCAATGTTTACGGGTCCTTGGGAGTACGGGATGGGGTCAATAGAGAACCAGTTTCTTCTGAGCCAGAATAATCTGTGACATAGTCCACATGATTAATAGACCTAATTCCCCAGACAGCTGAATGCAAATGTCTCTCTAACACAGCAGGCGATGTCAGGGCACCGAGATCCAGCCATTTGCAGCGAAAGTGGCAAGCGGGAGTGACTTATACCTAATCTAATCCTGCATACTTCATGATTCACTCACCGGAATCCTCTAAGGTCCTCACCACAGAAAACATAATTAACACTAATTTTCAATGAGGTTTGTTTTTTTTTTTTTTTTTTTTTTTTTTTAATAGAAACGATTTCATTGCCTTCTTGTCACATCCTCTAACTTGTTTTGTGCTTGGGACATCAGGAGCCTGGTGCTAGCAGAGTGCCAGTGAAGGGTGCAGCTGAGCCCTCTGGGCCTGTGTGGATGAGGAGGGCTTGCCATTGTATGGCAGTTCACTTAGGCTCAGCTTAAACGGGATGCTGGGAACAGAGCGGGTGCTTCTGGGGTTCTTAGTATCCAGCCTGGGAGAGACATCTTGTGGCTTTGTTCTCTGGCTGCTACCTCAGCAGAAAAGCAAGGAAAATCCCTAGTCACAGTCTACAGGGCTTCTGAGAAGGTGATGTCAAGCTCACTGCCAAATTTCAAAACACCACTTTTACACACATGCAATATTCTTTTAAATGAAAGTTAAATCCCAGGTATGAAGAGACAAGCCAATATTTTTATTCTTTAAAGAAAGTACAACTTAAGATTAGTTCCGATTCATCAGAAAAGTTTTAAATTTTTATTTATATGTTACGTGTCTGTGCTGGGAGTATGCAGGCCAGAAAAGGGTGTCAGATCACCTGAAAAGGGAGTTCCAGACTGCTATGAGCTGCTGTGTGGGTGCTGGGAATCTAACCAAGGCCCTCTGCAAGAGCCATCTCTTCAAATCCGAGTCAGATTCTTTATATTCTTGGGCTGAACAGAACACAGATCTGGTCAGTGTGATTGGCAGGCAAAACAAAGAAACAAACAAAAACAGGAAAAGAGAGCTAGGCCCACCCCATGTTCTTTTTCTCCTTATTTTTTTTTCATCTGCCTAGTCTTTCTTGAATTATTTGTCCAAGAAACAGTCTTCTAAAGGGTCTTTAAAATTAACTGAACCTTCTTTTGGTTTCTGAGGCAAGGGCTGTAGCCCACAATGGCCTTGAACTCGAGGACTGGGATTGCAGGCACACACCACTACACTTGTTTTAGCAGAACACTGTTTGAACGTCTTTCATTTAGTTACTCATTGAGAAAGAAGGTGATAATCTCCAATTTGCCTTCCATGCAAGGAAGGGGAAGATGTGGATGAGAGGAACGCCTCCAGGATAGGATTCTGGAGGGGATCACAAGGAGAAAAGATACTAGGAGGTTGGAGCTCTCCTCAGAGGAGGTTGGCAGGCCCCGAGTGACAGGCTCACACCTTTTGACATTTTTGTTTACACTTTGCAAACCTCTCAGAAGAGTCTGTTTAATTCTCATCATTGCCCTGCAAAGGCAGTTGTTTCGAGTCCCATTGTCCAGCAGAGGAAAGGAAGGCTTTGCCTCCTATGTGGCCACAGGGTCAGCAGGTGGCGGAGCTGTAGGTGTCTGCCGTGTCCTAGCCGCTGAGATAATAAAAGCTGCGTAGAACTTGTCATTATTATGCAAAGCTGGGCAGGAGGCTTGGACTCTCGCTTGCAGGAGCCCATCTGTCTCTGCACGCCGCCCCCTAGACTCAGAGGCCTGCTGAGAACTGAGTCTGGTGGGTGGAGACGCGTCCTCAGCCCTTGGCCCTGACAGTTTCTCTGCTCCCTCCTAGCCTGCACCCTCCAGGCAGACCTCTTTCGGCTTCGAAAGCACCCTCCTCCCTGAAATTATGGCCTCCCTCAGACCCTGCCTGCCCTCGGGGGAAGCACATTAATATTAATCTAGATGAATAATTGAATACCTGGGATTTATTCGGGCCTCAGCGAAGGAGGACCTGCAGCTGGGTTCCTTCCGGCCACCTGAGCGTTCCTAAGGCTCAGATTCCGTGGGACTCCCCATCCCAGAAGTGGTAGGATGATGGTGGGTGTGCCCGCCTGTGCGATGTGAGCCGGAGCAGGTGTCCAGGGAGTGATGGGGAGCGCCAAGGTTTCTCCAAGGATTGGGGACGGAGGGGCATTCCGGGTCTCAGCGCTTGGCCGGGCACAGTGTGACCCGGGGCCAGTCGGACTCGAGAGGAAACAATAGCGACTCCTTAGATCCTGGGATCCTGCCACCGGCTGTCCAAAGCGTTCCCGGACTACCGGGACTTTTTTTTTTTTTTTTTTTTTTTTTTGGCTAATTTATGGCTGGAGACTGGTGGGGGAGGGACGACAGAAGAGGGACAGCGTCTGAAGATGGGGGCGGGGGGTAGGGGCGACGGTTAAAGAAGTCGCCCCAGGCTGCGGCGCGGGTGATGTCAGCCCTGGACAAAAATAGAGAGGGATCGCCTGCAAATCCCCAGCTCCGGCGGGGCTAAACCTTGCAATCCCTCTCGGGCCGGCGCCGAGCCAGGGCGCAGGGGCCTCCACCGCCTCCCCGGGCGCGCACACACCAGCACACGCGCACGCACGCAGACACTCCTCCGCACCCGCACTCCCGGTTTTCCCCGGTGCCCCTCGGTGCCCACCACTCACCGCACCCGTCTGCCCCGCGGCGAAGCGCGCGCGCGCGCGCACACACACACACACACACACACACACACACACACAAACATACACACATACACATACTCGCGTGGCGGCTGGGACGCGGGGAGCGGCCGGCGCGACCTCGGAGGAGCCGGTGCCGGATCCCCGCAGCGCCCCTCGGAGCGCTGGCCGCGAGCCGCGCTCGGGAACGCGGGCCGCGCGCGGCGGAAAGCTGGGACGTGGATTAGCGCCGGCAGCAGCCTCCCGCGCGCGCCGAGGCGCTAAAGGGCTTACTCGGGAGGGGGGTGCGAGGGCGGGGAGAGGCTGCCCGTTAAATACCGCTCCCCGCCGCACTCCGGGCTCACCCAGCTCGCCGCCACCGTCGCCAGACCGTGCCCGGGAGGAGGGGGCGTTCCCCACGCCATGGCATCAACGGAAGGGTGAGAGGGTTGTTTTTTTTTTTTTTTTTTTCTTCTGGGTACCAGCCGGGAAGCGGGAGCCGCGCGCCGGGTGGTGCTGCCCCTATCCCAGATGGAGACAGAGAAAAGTGACTCCTGACCTCGGAAACCCTTGCCAGAGCTACCGCTAGGCTGGAGGTGGTGAGGAAGGAGGCTGATTTCTTTGGTGGGCTAGTTGTCCTTTGAGGATGCAGGAGGTAGAGGATTGGTTCTAGTGAAAGGGACGAAGTGCCATGGCGGTGTGAAAAAGTGTGAAGAGAAGCCCTTTGGGGATTACTTCAGAGACTTAAAGAAAATAAAGGATTGTCCATGGTGCTAGCAGGACACATTGCTTGGGCTGCGAGGTGGGGACCGGTTGGAATGAATGAACCAAAGACCAGGGCCGGGGCGGGGCGAGGAGCAGCGCGGGAAGCCTTAGCTTTGGGCGCAGGTCAGGGGCCAAGGGCTAAGGTGAGGCTGCAGCCTAGGAGCTCTTTGCCCTTGGATGTTGGAATCTCCCTAGCCAGCTGCAAGAAAGGGTGGAGGTGGATTTGGGTGCTTCCCGAGAAGACGGGAGAAAACCTGTAGCTTGGAGCAGGGCAAGAGTTTCCAGACTGTATTGGGACTAGCAGTGGCTTCTTCATTTTGCCTGTGGCCTTGGAGTTGCCTCTTGCCTCTTGAGGCTTCAGTTGGCATAGTGATCGCTTCTGTGACATAGAAGCACAACTGTATTTAGCAAGAGGAACAAGGGGGATGTAAGGGCAACTGGGCCCCTCGAATACTCAGTGCAAGGCATCCTGGTCTTGCCTTCCCCCCTCCCCCAATAAAAAGCTTCTCAGGCTTTCCAGAGCCTAGGAAGGAATAAAAAAATGTTTGGGGACCCCAGCTTTTGGGTTATTTCACAAAATGCCTCTAGCTGCTTGCGAGAGATCATTGGTACTACATGTGACATCCAAAGCAAGTGTCAGGGGCTTCTTGGGACTCTACACTTGAGTTCTTGCTTCTGTAATTTTCTGGAGCATTTTTAATCGAAATCAAACTCCACATCTAAGCAGGAGCTTTTGATGAGGTGGTGGACAGGTGGATTTCTAATCAGGAGTCTTTACTCCTGCTTAGATGACTCCTGCTTAGATGGTGTTCAAAACGAGACTTCTAGATTCCAACCCGAGACAAGCAAAAATACTTCTAAGCCTGTCTATCTGCAACCAAAAGAACCCATCCATTTCTCTCACCCCCTGAGTCCTTCCAAAGGTGCCTGGCATCTTGTCTAGCATGAAATTTCTTCACATTGCCTTATTTACCAGTGTGGGCCTTTGAAATAATTACCTCTCTGAAAAGATGCTCTAGAGTTGTACAAGGAAGGTGGTATCTTGTGCTCAAACCTCTAGAATTAGATATTAAGGATCCACATGGTTTAACACCGGCACTCCTCTGTGTCTGATTTAAAGTGCTTTCATTTTAGAATAGGTATAAAAGTATTTCTGGCTATGTCCAGAACCCTTCCTTCCAGAATGACTTCAGCCTTCCAAGTCTCAGCTGGAAAACATCTTTGAAAAAATATTATCTTCCAAATGTTGCATTCAACTCAGTCTCTATCCTGATAGCCAAAGGGGAAAAGGGAGAGGCAACAAGAAAACTCCCCAGACTCAGTGTGCTGCTGCTTTGCCCTCATCCTAAGCGAGACCTGCCAAATGGTTTGACATTCCAAGTAAAACAAATGTGGTTTTCAAGATGAAACCATTTCTAGCCCAGTTAGTGGCATCTTAGTCCACAGTGCAAGGTTAGGAAATGGTTGTCAAAGGAGCTTGTATTTAAGAGATGAAAGAACTGAAAAAAAAAATCTGAAAACTGGGAAACAAATGTAGAAAAATATGTCATTATTTAAGAGCAGTAATTGGTCAGCTGGAAACATTCTCAAAACCTTTCTCTTCTCCCAGAAGCCTTTGCAGAGTCTCTGCTGGGCAGAATGCACCTGCTAGGCACTCTGGTGGAGATAAAGAGACACAAATAGCTTTGGAGAATGGCTTTCTGAAGGCTGTCTCAGCGAAAGACTATTATCAATAAATTGTTCTCCTAGGTTGGTGAGATCTGTTTGCCCCTTCTGATATCTTTGGGTAATGCAACTTGTAAAGGAAATTCAGGAAGCGGCCCTAGGCTGGTCTCTTTTGTTAGCCTTTGTCTTCTAACAATATTAAAGCGTTTTTTGTTTTGTTTTGTTTTTTTTTCTGAAATATACACTACTTAGAAGGATGCCAAAATAGCAATGTAATTACATGCTTTCAATTTATACATGTTCAGCTCAACTCTGCTCCAGAATGCTGGGGGAATGGGGTGGTATATTAAGCCAATCGATCTGGTGAATGTTTATTTGGTGTTCAAGTTGCCATCAACAGAATATGCTAATTACTACTTTTTATAGAATGATTAGAGGCAACAGATATATTTGCTCAGCGCTCTTTTCAAAGCTCATTTGTATTTCTTTACATTCACTTCTTTCAACAGCTCTGTGAAGTAGGCAATCCAGTGAAAATAGACTTTGAAAGCTCAAAAGTGTGTACAATAAAATGCCATCTTTCCAGGAAGGTTCTGAGATTTGGCAGAGCTTTGTGGTATCGTGTGGAAATGTCAGTTGTCAGTTATGACTGCGTGAGGCATGGCTGGGGCCTATTGTCAGCTTTCTCTCAAGTTTTAGTATACATCTCCAGCAAGTTGCCTTTTAGAATATTTCTGTAGCTTCTGTGTTTGATCTTTGCTGTTTTACAGAGCATATCCACTACTGTTCTGTTATCTAAAGTTTCTGGTTGTGTTACACTGAGAAGATGATTGTAGCTTTTGTAAAACTCAGCCATGGCTCTTATGATATCCAGGTTCTGAAAAGTGTTTTCCTATAAGAGCAAGGTTCAGTTTGACAGTTGAATATCGTTTGTTGTTTTTGTTGTTCCTGAGTTCTAGGCATGGCTGGAATTACTCAGATGGCTTTTAGGTTCCTGACCCAAATTGGAAAGAGATTATAAGTCGCTGGTGACAGGCAGGCTAGTGTCTGTTATTGACTGGGTCAAAGTGGAGTGGCCAGATGCTGAAGAGACAACCATTTTAGAAATATGTTTCTAGGGGCTAGGGATGGCCAGGTCTCCGCATACATCAGAGACTCCTGGCAATCTGTCTTCTGATCAGTTCCCAGGAGCCAAGGGGTCAGGGCTGCGCCAATCAGGAAGGCTTGGATTTCAGTCTGACTTAGAGAGCAAGTGAAACAGAAAACTGCTGACAGAAAAAAAAAAAAAGCCCTGCCAAGGGAGACCCCTGAATTTACGATTCCCAGTGCGTGATGCTAAACATAGCATTTGCCTTGTCTACTGCACCACCCCCCTCGGAGAATGAAATTGAAGGGAGCAGGCATTATGAGCTTGAGAGTGGGCTTATTATGGGGTGATTGGGGAGTAGGGGAGATAGGATCTAGAGGGGCTTGTATATTGCATGCCTCAGGCTCCATTGGAATTCATTTCTCGTTTTCGAGACTATAGAAATTGTCTTTCTTGGGTAAACTGGATATGAGTGGAGCTGTGATAAAGCCATTCTGTGTTTACTAAAGGCAATCTCTTGTGAGCAGTCAAAAGCCTAATTCTCCAGAAATCATTTCTAAATCCAAATGAGAGCAAAGCAGAAATGGCAGCTTATTACAAAGCAAATGGCAGGTCTGAGCACTTTGTTTTCCTTCCCGCTGTATGAAGAGGCAGCATCCTCTCCTTTGGCTTCTGCACTCACTGATGTGTCAGGCCTGGCGAGTCCCATCAGAAATGAGACTGTGGCCACACAAACAAGCAACGCTCAAGCAGTGCCCTGGGTCACTGTGCCATGGGTCATTCCTGGCTTCTTCACCCTTTGGAGCCCGACACAGGTTAATTCATTGACAATTCCCGGGGTACCTTCCACGTGGCTGTATCAGCTGTAAAGGTGTCTCAGTTTCCTCCCTTTAAAGGCAAGCCAAATTGTTTTGTAGAGTTGTTTCCCTCACTGAATTGCCTTGCCCCTTTGAATGAATTGAATCGCCATTCGGTCGCCTGCAACCATTGCTTTAATCTAATGAAACATAGATAACTTAAAAATCCTCTAGCGTGAGTAGGCGGGAGAGCCGGTCCTCAGGATTAAAACGTCTTAGTTAGGTTTGTATTTCAAGAACTTGTTCTCACAGTCTTGAACAATACACCCGACAAACGTCAGGCAGTGCCTGCTTGCTTATAGTTGTCTCTTCCCTGCCCTTAACAGCTTGGTGGAGGTGGGAGGGGGGGTGGGCAGGAGGCATGCTTCGTAGAAAGGGTTTGGAATCCAGATTACAGCAAATCTCTTTATTCACCAGGGTTGTGGGATTGCTCTCCCCTCCCTCTGCCTGCCCTTCACCCTACAGCGTTCCAAGCGCCAAGTCCTTAGAATGAATTAATTAGGGGGAGTGTTTAAAAATATCTCATGGCTCTGTCTCCACGTGCTCTGTTATTGATTGGAGGCAGATGGGCTGCATATTTGTCAGGATAAGAGAAAACGACCGATATCTCACTGTGAACCTGCCTGGTTATGACACCAGAGAAGTCAGACAATGGGCCCCCGCTGTATTGACAGTGAGTAAAAGGTAGAATACTAACCTTTTAAAGGGTGTGCCTTTTTGTCATAACGTTTCCTCGCAGTTTTCAAGATTGTTTCTCGGTGGCATTGATATTTTCTTATTCTTTTCTTCTATTTGTTTACTTAATGTCTCAGACAAGCAGATGTGGCCACTGTTGGCTGAACCGTCAGCTGGAGTCCTTGGTGATGTCGCCAGCTGCCTTTGGATTATAGACTCACTGAGCAAGGACTGGCCTTTGAAAAGAGAAGGAAGGGAATGAACTCCACTTGGGCAGCTGGACTTGATCTGTGTCAACCCCCGTCCCCTCTAGGATGGATGATGGCAAAGTCCTTGCATGGAGTACTCGGGGACAAAGATGTAGATATTGTCCCTAGGCGTCACGTATATT